GCCGGAGGGATTGTCGTTATTGGGGTTAAAAAACATTCATTCGAGGGAGACCCCCGGTCCCATATTCTGCAGGCTCGGTTTCATCCTAGATAATATGTCGCGGATCCAGGTCCGTGGCAAGACATGAGGGCGTTGTCGATATACCAGAAGACTTCTGCCAGATGGCGTGAAGGTCAAGATCGAAATCACAGTCACTAATTTTAGCACAAAACATGCAATGAAGAAACGTACGGACAATACTCGCTCATTTCGTCCATTTCAATTCAGGATCTGCTAGTGGGAAATTACAGAAGTGCCTAAAGTAGCATTTGACGGGTTGGGAGGGACAAGATGCCGCAAGCTGAGCAGAGATCTTATTTATTGTCAGGAAAATGGTGATCAGCATCGTATTGACCCAAACGGTACCTCTGGGATTCTAGAGGATTCGATACCAGGTATTCTCGAGGCTATTTTAACCCCCTCGTTCCCAGTAGATAGGGGGAGCAGGAATCAACACTCTTTTGATCTCATCATTTTTGGGTAGTTCCCCTTTTGATTCCGTTGCGCCAATCGCCTAGTACATCCATTGTATTTCCCTAGCTATACAGGATATTCCTGTTATTTATCTTCAATTATAGAAGACCAGGGCACGTTAGGAGGGCTTTACGGCAGATCCTAAGAAAACCAAGCGCTGGAAATATCAACAGCTGTGGAACGTTGACACTTCGTCACAGAACCCAATTAATTTCATCCGCAATTGCATTCGCATTCTCTATAATCAGCGAAAATAACTGGTACAGAGCACCAATACATAGCAGTAATATCCAAACGTGTCCTTATCCATGAGCCCCAAACAAAACTGAGACCTTATCAATTCCCATCAACGTGATAGGCTTGAGGATCGCTCGCTTGCAAGGCTGAAATCACACCGTTACAAAGGGCCTGAACTGCTCGTTTCCGATCCCACAATACCAATTTCTGTTCCTCGCAAAGCTGCAGAAGGATGTCACTGTCGCTTGCTAGCCACTCATTCAACTCTTGAAGCTGTCGCTGCTCATCCTCAAGTCGCATCTTCTCGGCAGATTTGACCACGTAGCATTCCCATAGGCAAAAGTACAAGTCGAGCAGTTTCAGGGCTGGCGTAGCGAGGGTGTCATTGTATTGTAGAATTTTCATAAACTCCGCCGTCAGGGCACCAGGTGTCACTGGGATCTGCAGAGTATTAGTGTTTATGTTCATTTCCTGCGGTAGAGGTATGACCGACCTTGGGTTCGACGATTGTGCCGTTTGGAGATTCTTGTGTGTGGTTTTCCATCTTGGAATCATCTTCTCCATCTTGGGATACCAGTCGCTGTCTCTTGGCTGGCCGGTCAATTGGGGAAGGCGAGGTGGGATGGTCCATCGTGGCTGTGGAAATGAAATGGAGGAAAAGTTCTGCTCAAGAGCCTTTTATAGACCGGCAAAGTCACACCAAGGCTGCTGTGATTGCACTCATAACCCCTCGGGTCTGGTTTTCAACAGCGTTGAATAGTTCAGTAAACAGTTACCTCAACCGTTGATGCTCGATCTCACCTGTTGTTCACCCAAATACTCAGTTATATGAGGAATTGGGCGACAGGTGAAGCCTTACAACATACATTGCAGATGATATCCCTAATGGTGGCCTGCAAGTGTATTCCTGATGCATTCGATCCTAAATCGAGTAGAGTTCGTTGAAGTTAATTGTGACGTTATTGTGACTGCGAACCATCTGAAGGACGGTGATGCAGATTTCGATTTCAGATAGCGCTTCATATCGCGAGAGTTACCTAAATTAAATATCACTCGCTTTTACAGACCACGGCCCATGTGTCTCCCTGGCAACGGCACCAAAATCGTTTGACCGGAGTTATCGTCTTCTATCCGGTTCCTAATGATCCTTCGGATGTAATAGTCACTTCCCAACTCTATATCTCCTCAAACTACCATTTTGTCAGTCTTCTACACACTACAAACGCAAATACAATTGGGACTTATCAAAAAAATGTTAACTTCTTGTTTCCCAAAGCTTAAGCGAAAGCTTCAAAATTCATTCAAAGTCTTTTCTCCCAGTCGATCAAAATATCTCTCAGATATCCCTGCCACCGGTTCTGAATCCGAACGCACGCGGCGATCAGCTGCCCCATCCCCAGAGGTGTCACCAACAAACATAAAAAACCATGAAAAAGAAACAACAGACACCTCGATTGACTTGCAGTTCATCACCACAGAGCGTCACAAAACAGAGTCAAGCTCAACTTATCATCTGACTCAGATCCCGCGAGGAGAGTAGCAAGCTGGGCGGGTGGGTTGTGAAAAAGCAAAAGCTTTCGGGTGGCCACTTCCGTGGGAAATATGCGACAGTTGCTAGAGAATGTCAATCAACTTTCTTTATCGGAGAACACCGTGCTTATCACTGGAGGCATGTAACGGATACAGCTCAACTGAAAGGGTTTCTCGTCTGGAGAAGATCCGGACGACGGATTTTCACGGCTCCGGCCAACCTAAGCACCGCTCGATTTGCCTCTTCGGGCAGTCTTTCCTTGTTTTTGAGAATGCCTCATTGGGGAACACGGCCATGTCAACGCTGTAGGACATGCTGCTTGGCCACCCATGTACCAATAGAGGCGAATCATGAATTTTCGATTGACCCATGACGTCTTTGGCTTGATCCAGGCGAGCATCTAACAAACGCAAAATTTGGTCGGCCCACACCTTTCTTCGAGAGCTATGGCGTCTGCACTCAAAACAAAAAAGTTGCTTTGTAGCCAACGGTAATCTCTGCGCTATGGGATATTCGAAAGAAGAGTTCTGGAAGAGCTGAAAGCACAATACTCCATTTGAATGAAGACAAGCATTACACCGTTTTGTCCACTTGAGGCCCTTTTCTAATATCAACTATTGCTCAGCAGGCTTCCACCGCCACCCCATACTCGCTACCCGCGCCGCAAAGAGAATCCCACACCCTAGAAGCAAACATGTGCCACCCCACACCTGTGCCCCAATATAGTTCCCGTCACCGACCTGAATCAACCTGCCCGCCAACGGAGGTCCGGTCAAGCATGGGATGCTGATAATGGTAAATACCATACCAATTCTGGTGCCGCTTTTACTCAAATCTTGTGTCAGACTAGCGAGAGTCGAGGGAAAGAGACCCTGAATGCTGGCGCCAAAGAATCCAAGAAAAACAATCCAGACTATATCAGATGCGAGGGATTGCACCGAGTGCCATATGTAGACACATAAACCAGCAAGGAAGATGACCGGAATGAGTACCGTAATAGCACCGAAGTAGCGATCTGCAAGCAGGGCTGGAATGATGCGACCTGGGATTCCAACAGCGTTGAAGATAAGAAGGACGCTGTACGATGTTGCTTGTGATACATGTAGGTTATCGAGGGCGTATGGACGAACCTATTGGCCGTTATCAGCATGGAACCCCAAAGGGAGAGAATCAGTCTTCATGTTAGGACAAAGGCCAACCCACATAGTAATACGCAAAGTATGTCGCCCAGAGCGTGAAGAACATACTGACGGTAAATAGTAGATATGGTGGCTCTCCGAAGGCTGCCAATTCGACTATTCTGCCCGTCTTGCGTGGTGGGAGTCGCGTTCGTGTGGTAGACACCACGATCGCTGCATTTACCAGCACCACGAAGCCCATAACCCGAACAGTCCAGGGGAAGCCAATTTGAGGCAGTAGCTTCTCTGCGATGACAGGGAAGACAATTCCCCCGGTTGCAGCACCGCTTGCAGCTGTGGAGATGGCGATTGTCCGTTTTGTGGTGAAGTATGTTGACACTGACGCAATTGTTGGGCAGAAGATTAGGCCATTGCCCAGGCCCTGACAAACACCCTGGGCTAGAAACACCTGCCAGTACTTTGTGCAGAGGCTCGTCATGAACACGGCCACTATCTGCATTGCACATCCGATCCACAAAACTGGCCGGTAATACCCGGTATCAAATGCCCGCCCTGAGACCGAGCCGATAAAAAAGATGAGGAACACCTGCACACTACCAACCCAAGAGATGGTGGAGGCAGGTAAAGAGAGCGATGAGGCGTAGTAGGCCTGGAAGATGCCGAAGCTGTTGGCATAGCCCCAGGTATTAAACACGACAAGGTGTCCCGCGAGGACTTGCAGCCAGGCCACACGGCCGCCGTTTGGTGGTTGGTGGTTGGAATTTGGCGCATTATGTGTCTGTTCTGTAAAAGTGTGTAATTTAGGCCCTATGGCCGCGGTATATGCATACGCTTCCTCTGGGAGAGAACAAGAGGCACGAGAGGCCACTCTGTGGATTTCGATTTCGGATCCTGTGCTGGCCATCCCGACCGCTGACATCCCAAAAACAGGAAGAGATAGGAGTAGTTAGGGAAGATAAACAGTAGACGCGGTCCGCTTATTGAACGGCACTGGAGGAACAGGGGTGGCTCGATCTTCTTCGCATCTAGCACTTCACTTAGGAGTCCCAGCACTTCGGCTCCACTGGTCGGACACTATGATCACAAGAGATAAGCAACTGAGATCCTGGGTTAACAGTTGGTCAAACCTTGCTAGCCGTGCCGACCAGGTCGACCAGGGCTCCAGGACGGAATTGTTTCTTCTTTCGTCCCCGTATGCAGCGCCCTAAAACCCCTCGATCCAGACCCCGCTTTGCATCAAATGTAACTGAGCACGTCAGTCGACTGGGGGTCGAATGTAACGCTGAACAGGTCGGTGAGATTGCGGGATTAATTACTGACTAGCAGCAAACCACCTCCACTATGTCGACGCACAGACCCCGGCGTGCTCGCCAGTATTGACACGTCGAATGACAGGATGCCCCACAACCAGTCGAAGGAGGATCGGAGGGCTGCTGCACCCGTGTACATTAGCTAGTGTTTATGCCTTTCAAATATGACAGCAGGATTGCAAACACAACACCTGCACCGCAATCTTGTAGTGATTTTCGCCTTCACATCGCACCCAGAATCCACAAAAGTGGACTACCATCTTCTCGATTATGGAGTTTAAGGAGACATTTCTTAAATTCCAATCCGCGCTGCTAGAGGCAATTGAGTCTCGAAAGGATGGTCCTGTGCTACCATCAATCGTGACTCTGAAACAGTCAGTCAAGACACTTCCTGCTTCCTTGCCACGCATAGGACATGGTCTCAATGCCACCGCAAGCCACCTGATAAATGATATTTTGCCAGGCCTCTCCTGCTCGAGTCTTTCTCCACGGTACTATGGCTTCATTACCGGTGGCTGTACACCTGCAGCCTTGTTGGCAGACAATCTCGTCTCTGCTCTAGACCAAAATGTCCAGGTCCATTTGCCTCAAGAGACACTCGCCACAGATATTGAGCTGAAAGCCCTGGACTTGCTGAAAGATCTGGTCGGCCTTGACAAGACCTGGGGAGGCACCTTCACTTCAGGATCCTCCGTAAGCAATCTTATGGCCATTGCGTGTGGCCGGGAACATGTTCTTGCCAAGAGAGGAGCCACGGATCTGGGGACAATCGGACTGATGGAGGCCTGTGTTGCTGCCGGCGTGAATCATTTCCAGCTTCTGGTGACGCGGCACCATCCTTCGATTGTTAAGGCTGCGAATCTGCTTGGGATTGGACGAAAATCAATCAAGCAAGTCGGGCTCCCGAGTGAGCCGTGGAAGATCGACTTTGACCTCTTGGAAACAGAGTTGCAGGCATCACGTACCGCCAGTATTGTCTCTGTCTCCTGTGGTGAGGTCATGACCGGCCAGTTTGGCACCGATGGAGATGGTATGGTGAGACTGAGATCCCTGTGTGACAAGTATCAGGCTTGGCTGCACATCGACGCTGCTTTCGGGCTCTTCGCCTCTGCCCTCCCCGCGACGAGCGAGTTCGCGTATCTCAGGCTGGCAGCTGCGGGTGTTGGGTTCGCCGATTCTATCACTGGTGATGGGCATAAGCTGCTCAATGTTCCGTATGACTGCGGCTTCTTCTTCTCGCGCCATCCGGCTGTCGTCAAAGCGGTGTTTGAGACGCCCCCCATTGCCTACTTTGCCACGGAATTGGACCCGAAGATTCCCTCGCCGCTCAACATTGGCATCCAAAATTCTCGGCGGCTAAGAGCTCTGCCTGTGTATGCCACTTTGGTGGCCTACGGCCGCAGCGGATACGAGGATATGCTCGCCCGGCAGGTCTTTGTGGCTCGGGCAGTCGCTGCCTTTGTGCTAGACTCGCCCGACTTTGAGCTGTTACCAGTGCGCAAGAGCCTCACGAAGGAGCAACTTCTAGAGCGGGTTTACATGCTCGTTTTGTTTCGGGCGAAGGACGAACGCTTGAACCAGAGCTTGCTCAGGTTAATTAATGAGTCCACACATGCTTACCTCTCTGGGGGTATGTGGGAGGACAAGCCAGCGGTTCGAATGGCGGTATCAAACTGGAGGGTAGATGTCAGCAGGGAAGAGAGGATCTTGACGAAGATGTTACAGGATATCGTCAGCGATTGGAAGAAAAGCCATGGCAATGAATACTTGAAGAAGACATCTTCTCCGCTGGAAAAATCCAAAATCTGATGAACTGGACTGGCATACAATGCAGACGATCTACCGATAGGGCTGGAGTTTTACCTTACTCTGGGATCCTATGTCAAGTTGGCGTTTGATCAGAATAAGCAGACCAAAAACATCCTTCTAGATACTGTTTCTAGGATAGAATGACATTTATACTAGCAGAGACTTCCTTTTCTTGCCCTTCCTTCCCTTGAATTATTGAATATCAAGATATGGTATCATGTAGAGTCAGCTACTATGAAAGTCTCCTCTACCTCCCAGTGCCCTAATTATTTATTGTCTAAATTATTCACGTTTCTTTGGGGTAATGCGTGGAAAGGTATCCTTCTCGATTTTTTTGTAGCGTTTTGCTATAAAAGCGCCGCAGGTGTGGAGCCGAGGCACAGCAGGTGAGATTCATTCCCTCAGGAGTCGTTAAAATGAGCAGTCACCCATTCTCCTCGACTGAGAGAGTCCTTGTACCCCATCTTGTCAGATTCATGTCCCATGCAGTCTGTCAGTAGGCTTTCACCTTGGGACGGCTAATGCACTTCGATACTTCGTAAGGTTCAAAAGAGACGGCTAGACGGCCCAGCCCGAAAGTTACAATTCCGGGTGGGCCCATAGAGCTGAAGCGGTCGATTTTCCACCAATAATGCCGGAAAAGAAAGATTTGAATGGTTGGTGGACCGCAGATTGCCAGTGTATATATCGCAACAACTACTATCCGATGTAACATTTATGCGATATAGGTGCTATGCGATGTGATGATTGGGTCCGGATCTCGCGGATTCTTCCCCGGATTTGGCCCCATATAATCAAACGTTGTCTGGTAATATTAGAGATTGCTAAACACACAACCCCTACAGCGTGGCGCCCAATTGTCGTCATCGTCGGTCTTTTCGGTTCCTCTAATGCACGCTACTATGAATGCGCGAGTTTTAGCAAATTCGGAGTTTTCAATTCTATGCAACTGACTCTAAACGAATCTTGTCTACGTATTTCTTCAATAATAGTACCTAGATGGGATTGTCTTGCGCCCAGATCGTGGAAGTCTAAGCATAGGGCAAGTATAACCCGGAACCCCTTCTAACCTAACTATGACTGGTTGGCAGTGCTTAACAGTGGGGCGGCCATCTGGTCCCAGTTTTGCTCAGCTGATTTGGGGGGACACTCACCCCTTTATTTGATGTTGATCTGAAAGGTTATCTATCCACTAACCGGCGCCATAGAAGGGCCACAACTTTTTCTAGCCCTAGCGTAAGACAGGATGATTCAGTGTACTTGCATCTCTGCGGGGTTCCTTTGGAATAAACTTGACGCTAAGCTTTAGCAAGCTTTCCAAGGCGGTGAGAAAGAGGGTTTGTGGATCGGCCTGTGGCGAATGGTTGGCTTGATGGTCCGTCCCATAATAGACCCACTCACTGACGAATTGTAAATGGAAGCACACAGCCATTGGGCCAATGGCCCGAGCTTAGGCCAACTAAGGGGACTATCTAAAGGTTTAGGTTATTCGCACGACACACTAAGCCTAACTTAGACAAGCCCACTTTCCTGCCTTAAGTATTGTTTGTCGACAAAAGAGGGTCGCCATTTTACTAGTGCGCCCGAGGAATATTCAGCATCCCCATCTGCTTGATGATCGTCAGGCCCTCAACGACCTTACTTAGCTTATCCCCTATTTATTCTGCACTTTCTATAGTATATAAAAATCACACTCTCAAGTGACAAACTAAAGGAGCGGTCAAATACCGCTATGGCCTTTTGGGATAGGCTTGTTCATCGTTCACCCAATTTCCCCTAGTATTTGTATGGTATTCGGGCTAAATTCGGATACGGTGTCATAACACGCCAGAGCACGGACAGTAGACTCCAGAGATCGCTGAACCGATCTACACACCTTCAATCAATCATCAGATTCTATTGGACATGTGCAGTACTAGCCAGTACATTAATTCCTCATCCTGACATCAAGTACTCAATTGCCTATGCCCGTACTAGTCCGTACTGTAACGACCACGTTCCGACATTGTTGGATCCCGTGTACTGATGGTATTGTCCTGTCACCCTGATACGCACTACTCATGCATTAGGGTTAGACCTGTATCTATAATAATGGGTCGTGACCCACATGACTCTACCAATAATACAACTACCATACACATGCTACAAGAAATATTCCCGACATTGCATAAACTTTAATCTGTGTTTTAGTATCAAGCTATCCAAAACAGGAAATCGTACCTAATGTACGGAGTAGTGGGGGAACTTCCCTCGCTAGATCCGATTATCCCCAAATTCATCTAAACCCTTGTTTTGACCATTATTTGTGTACGTAAATTGGATGTCCAGCATCACTTTAGTAATCCAGACCCCATCTTTAACGTAATTCGCTACCAAGCGGCCACCACCCAAAGTCGCCATCTCTAAACACATAGTAATGCGATTGATTACAACATGATATTTCAACAACGGTAGGCTACATGGAGTTTTCCTAATAGCCTAATGTTTTTTGGGTGACATCTAGCTTCTCTAGGGAGTTTGCAAAATATTTGTGACTTCGTGATTGCTTCATATATATTTCTGGCTTTGAGCAACATAGTTCTCAAAACCATAATATTATAGCGTTCCAGTGTTCTTGAAATTCATATATAGGGTTAAGAATCCTTACCAATAGCTATCTAATGAGAGTTAAAATCACACAATAACGCGGTTATTGAAATATAAGGTTGTAAAAGATTGCATTTACTATGTGTTTTGGAGATGGCCGCTCGGTGGTGGTGGCCACTCGGTAGTGAAGTACGTTATCACAACATAACTCCTATGCGATGTAGCATGGATATGATGAAGCTCAGCAACGGCACTACCCCTGGCCCTTTACAGGCGGGTTTTGCCATTCCTGAGATGGTGCGCTGCAAGTCTCATGCAGGTAAGATTTTCATGTAGATACGAAGCAATCGCTGGGATTGCTGTCCATTATCCCAAGGCACCGTCTGTGCTTCGCCACTTCTGAGGGACGGAAAGCCCACCGGTAGAGTCCATAATATTACCCATGTGCAGGAGGCCTTGCCTGAATTGGCTCGCTGCGTCATCCAAGCCGTGCAATGAAGGGGGCAAATCACCATATGCAAAGAATTCTGGACACCGTGGTTCAAGAAACGAAGAGGAGAGGATAGGTAACCCATACACAGTGTCAGAGGAACATAAATAGTTCCTATTATCCCCTGAATGCCATCTAATACGTGTTCTACGGACCAATTTTCTATAATTTCAAATGCCACAGCACCGTGCCCCCCGCTCATGCTGGGCGAGAACCTTTCCCTGGCCACAGATGCTTTGAAAGCAGCCGGCACATCCTCATCCACTGTTCTGATAGTCGGTGGTGGAGTCACGGGGCTCGTAACCGCTTGGGTGCTCCTTGATAGAGGCTATCACGTAACCATTGTCTCAAAGGAATGGGCGTCATGGACTAAAGCACAACGACTTACTTCTCAGATTGCGGGTGCACTGTGGGAGTATCCTCCAGCAGTCTGTGGTCAACACACAGACAATGTCTCTCTCTATAACTCCAAGAGATGGTGCATGGTGGCATATCAGATATGGGACACCATCGCTTCTGATCCAGAAATGGCTGCCCTTTCCGGTGTGAGGATGAGGCGTTCACATTTCTTCTTCCCAAATGCCGTCGAGGATGATCCTGCTCAGCTGCAGAAGATGGAAGAAATTCAGAAGAGCGGGATCCGGGGATTTATTCGCGACCGTCACCTTCTTCGAGTTCCAGATGTCAATAGCGCATACGGAGTTGTCGACGCATATGAGCATCTTGCGCCGATTATTGATACGGACCGTGCTATGAAGTGGCTAATGGAGCTGGTGCAAGCTAAGGGTGCCCGCCTCGTCACTGAATATATTCGTGGCGATCTCTTCGCCCAAGAAAATGCACTGCTAGAACGCTTCGGCGCCAATGTTATTGTCAATGCTACCGGCTTAGCTGGCGCCGAAACGGCTGGAGACAAGTCCTGTTACCCGATCCGTGGGGCCTTGATTCGTGTCATCAACGATGGGGCCGACTTCCCGAAGATAAATCAAGCTATGACCATCACAGCTGATGCGGCCCACGACGCTAATGAGATCGTTTTTATCGTCCCCCGTAACGACAACATCCTTTTACTTGGCGGAATCGCCGAGTCACACGAGTGGAATCTCGATCATACCATCGATACTCCGATCGTCAAACGGATGCGCAAGCGATGCGAAGCATTCTTCCCGCAGCTCAAGAAAGCACGTGTGGACCCTGAATATCCACTTGTGCAAGGGCTGCGTCCATTCCGTGGAAAAAATGTGCGCGTGGAGCGGGAGCTTAGAAGGAAACGGGTTGTATGGAACGGGAACATGTCCAAACTCATACCCAGCCGCATTGTGCATTCTTACGGGCAGGGCGGTGCAGGATGGAGCCTGTCATTCGGATGTGCGGCTGATGTTGCGGATCTAGTTGCGGAAGCTTTGCAAGATTTGGATGCGGTGCCCATGGCAATGGCAGAGGAATCTATGGACGACGAAACATCGGGTGTCCAGCAGACGTACAAGGCAAGACTGTGAACGAGCCAGAATAAATACTAGTCGAGTTTTGCATATTTATTTCAATATCTATATTTGATTCATTCTTTCAAGAGATCGAGTGCAATCCGGGAGATTAACGAGAGCGCTTCAAAGCGGGCGTTGACATTATTGAGGCGTTGACTAGTCATGCATCACTTAGGGTATTCACACCCCAGGAGGGTACCCTTGCTTCCTGCACCTCAGTTAGTCTAATCGTTACTTGTATTAGGGTTAATTGTCTTCTAAGTCGGTACTGAAGTCGCTATCAGATCCGTTGTCCGAGAAGATCTCGCTCGGGTCTAAGCTAGCATTGCTTTGTTTCTCTCTATCATCAGACCTAACTAGTCGGGGACGAGGCACCATGGTCGACACAGTCGTGCACGAGGAAGAGGTTTAAAAGGACGGGAGTTGCTGCAAGAGATGCTAGTGGGAGGAAAGCCTCAAGAAAGTTCTCAGCCAATATCGTGTTGCCTGTAGGCGCCGTTGGTGACTGCACCAGTGATCTATTAGAGTTCGGAACCATCAATTTCGAATCACTGGGGGAGATCCCTTGATTGAGACGCGTCTCAGGTCTCGGGATGAGCTAGCCCGACCGTCCGATCCGACGAACCTACTTTTTGCCAACAAGGGTAACCGCTCATAGCGCACGCAGAGCATCGATTCAGGTGTTCCCAAGGTGTTCGTCGGGTCAAATTCAGCAGCAGCCGTAATCCTAGCGATACTGCCGTCACCCTGCAGGCAAGCCTCGAAGCCTAGGACGGGTTCAGCTTTATGGCTAGCCGCTACACTTGGAAAGAGTGTGAAAATCTAAGGATCGCTATGACTTAAGTGTCTTACAATCTGAATTCATCACTCTGCGCCTCTATATGGATCATCACGGTCTAGGATCAGGGAGCTGCGGGCCCAAGACGAGGGAAGAGTATGCATTGAAGCAGGTTCATTCACCTTCGGGATCCATCTCAAGTAGATTCTCATTATCACAATAACAATCAACAATCGAGTAAAGGCATCATTTAATATCAGCGGCATCTTTGTTCTTTTCGTAGTATTCGTTCAGAACATCGGCCAGGTTTACCCGCGGCCAATTCTAATCTGATCCGCTATTTACGCCAGGCGGGGTATCAGTCAACAGCAGACTTCTCTTGGGTATTTAGGGATCAATCTGCGGGGGTCTACGTCCTCCGAGCAAATATTTCACATACGCTAAATAATTCCCAGTGGACAAGAAATAAGAGATCGTGAACTGCAATAACCTAGTATTCAGGCAGAGGCAGCTTTTTAGCTGTCGAGACGTTGTGCTAGCTAGTGCTTACAGACCGTGGCAAAGCTAAACGGCTGCTGAAAGCCCTTTTGTGCCGTGTAAGGCGGCAATAAGCACGACCCGATGAAAAATTTGTTGGTCACCGATCATCTTGTGATAAATTTGGGGACGGTACGGTGACATACAATTAGTGTTGAGTACCCAAATTTTACGAACAGATAATAGCAAAACTAGCATAGTTGGTGAAAAGTGAGGTTGCTTTACTTATTCACACGAATATGTTCACTTTGGCTGAGATTGTGCGAGGGGAGAGGAACTTCTTCGGATCACTAGGCTCACTGGCGAGCGAGCCGGTCAGCACAGAATCATCGCACGTCTGATTGGCAAAGAAGCTTTACAGTGACTGGATGGGTTCCACAAAGCAGATAGATGTTTGCGGCTCTGGGAGTGAAGCAAATTAACTTTTGTCCTCGGCCGTTCCGTCTAATGCCTGCTGGTCCTACTACCGAGCATGCGGCGTAACTCTGGCAGCGAGATTGTTCGATTCGTTGAGCCACGGCTGATCCACGAGATTCCAGCCCTACAAAGGCTTCGAGAAAGCTTGTCAACTCCGCATTAGGAGAAAGAAAGGCCCGCTGCTGGCGTTTCACCTGCACTCTCGCCCTGGAGGACTCTGACAAGGCTGGCAAGCTCAAGCAGAGACCGCCCCTAAGTACGTTATCACCCCGAGTTTCTCCGTAACAACGATCCCGAGAAAGTGGAATGGAGGAGATGTCTGGGATGAGCAGGAATACAACTATATAACAAAACGGGATGCCCGGACCTCTGCGAACCACTACATTCTTCCCCAAACAGCGCTCAAGGCTAACGACGTCTCTAAGCGTGACAAGAAGAAGGCTCTGTAACATCGCTAGACCAGACTGCTGTGGGTTTTTATTATCTTTTCGTATCTCTCATGCGCTAGAAGATGAGAACGCCAAAAGATCGTGCTTATCTCCCGAGAGAGATCTTTCTCCTCGCAGCGGAGAATCTCAACCCTCGTGACCAATTATCACTCTTACGCGCCGTTCCTGTCCTCGTCAGACTCGTGACATTTCGACACACTTCTATTCAGGATGAAGAAGGAAATACAATCTTACACCTTCTCGCAAGAGAAGCTGACAGCAAACTAAAAGAGCTGCTACTGGCGAAGAATAGTACTCAAGCGGACCTGAAGAACAAGAATGGTCGAACGCCACTGTCTTACGCAGCTATGTGTGGACATCAAGAAGTCGTAAAGCTACTGATTCAGCGAGATGATGTGGAAGCAGACTCGAACGATAATTATGGTCGGACCCCACTGTCATACGCAGCTGGGTGTGGACGTGAAGCGGTGGTGAAGCTGCTACTGGAGCGAGATGATGTCGACGCGAACCCGAAGGATGACGATGGTCGGACGCCACTGTGGCATGCTGTTTATTTTGGACATGAAACGGTGGTGAAGCTGCTACTGGAGCGAGACGATGTCGACGCGAACCCGAAGGATGACGATGGTCGGACGCCACTGTGGCATGCTGCTTATTATGGACATGAAGCGGTGGTAAAGCTGCTTCTGGAGCGAGATGATGTCGACGCGAACTCGAAGGATGAGAATGGTCGGTCGCCACTGTCGTATGCTGCTTATTTTGGATGTGAATCGGTGGTGAAGCTGCTACTGGAGCGAGATGATGCGGAGGCGGACTCGAAGGACAGTGTTGGTCGGACACCACTCTGGCATGCAGCTTATCATGGATATGAAGCGGTGGTGAAGCTGTTTCTGGAACGAGATGATGTCGAGGCGGACTCGAAGGATGACGATGGTCGGACGCCACTGTCGCATGCTGCTTATTACGGATGTGAAGCGATGGTGAACTTGCTACTGGAGCGAGATGATGTAGAGGCAGACTCGAAGGACAATGATGGTCGGACACCACTGTCGAGGGCGGCGTCTCGGACTGGATGGACTGGATGTGAACGGGTGGTGAAGCTTTTTCTGGAACGAGATGATGTCGAGGCGGACTCGAAGGATGACGATGGTCGGACGCCACTGTCGCATGCTGCTTATTACGGATGTGAAGCGGTGGTGAAGCTCCTACTGGAGCGAGATGATGTAGAGGTGGACTCGAAGGACAATGATGGTCAGACCCCACTGTCGAGGGCGGCGGGTCAGACTGGACGGTATGGACGTGAAGCGGTGGTGGAGCTTCTCACCTCCCTGTCGTAAATAGCCAGCGGAAATTCAAGCAGATATGCGAGAGGATGATCAGGCTCAACAACAGCAGGACATGATACTTGACGTAGCGTTCTAAGTGAGAAGCAATGCAGACTCACTGCTTAGTGTACAGACACGACCTCTCTGAGTAGGGGTCGGCACGAATACATATTGTGTGCCCCAACCCGCGGCGCCATTTCCTTACCCTCGAGATTTAAGGAGCAGAGAAATGATTAATGTATACATATTGCAACATATGTACTGGATAATATCAGGCAGTTGAAGCCTTTCTCTTTCCGTTCAATCCCGGGCCGCCAGTAATCGACAAAGGAAAGGGAACACCATGTGGCGTTAACCGGAAATACATTACAAATTCTAATACAAAGGGCAGCTCCCCTCAGCCAGTAGTAGTCTGCGTAAACTCCTTATCCACTTTAATCTCAGACAGGGGAATCTGATCCTCGTCAGAGCGACGACCACTAACCTTCTGACCCTTCACATTAGTGTACGTTTTCGCGCGATCATAGCTAGGCCTGAACACAGCATCCATGCGAGTCTGTACAGACACCGAGTCCGAATCATCTGGTAAGTGATAGAAAGAAAGACGATTCGAATTATTTGAGCGTTGGATAATAGCGGCTGTACCCTCCACGGTCTGTGAAGGCTCGGTCACCCCCCGTTCGTGGCTTCGGTCCTTGTCCCATTTGTTCTTCTGAAGATACCCATAACACTGCCGTCAACAACCAGCAAGCGTGCTATGAGGTGGAGAGCAGGGCGGAGGGTTGGGAGATTGGCTGAAATGATGACGGCGGGCATTTTGAGGGCGGTCCAGCCGACTGTTGGGTCGAGAGTGCAAGCATGCCATCGTGCTCATTTTTGCCCAGCTCAAGAAAGCAGACAGCTTGGGCAGGGTCTGCTGTGGTGAGATCGACATTGGAGGGGTCAAATGAGGAAGCCATAATAAATGAGAAACGCGCTGTGCGAACGGCGTGATCGAGATAGAGGCTTAAGTTATCTCATTTGGTGGGAATAAATACACCAGTAATGACCATTATGAGTACCTTACAGGAGTGCTGCTGGGGCGGACTTGAGTACCTTGGCGTCCAAGTGCAAAACTCTGTTTAGGGCCCATCCGCCATCTATAGACTAGTCGGGTTCTAGCTCAGTGGGTGTCAAAAAAGGTAAAGCAATTTAGCTGCGCGTTATCCGGAGTCAGCTTATCCCCATCATAGCTGGTCGGCGTGAGTAATGTGCAACCGAGGGGGTAATGAAGAATGACTGACTGCATCTATATCATGTCGTAATGCTAGTTCTGTAATATCAATGTACGAGCGCAGTCGGTTTATCACTCTGGACGGGCGTTCTGAAAGTTCCTTATATGTCCAGCCATATGCTAAGAAACCCCGAAGAATCAATGCTGTGGCCACGTTATCTAGTGAGCAAGCTTTCTCCAGAATTCCAGGCTGCTGCAACCTAAGGTACTCCAATAGAAGTGATACGTCTCCCTTACTTAGTTTTCTCTCCCACCTGTTTCAATCTAGTCAGTTTCTTGCAAACGTATGGAAGGCATAGTAACACACTTACACTGTGTTTACCTGGCTACCAAGCATGAGCAATAGCCCAGGGCCAGCATCCATAAGAATCTGCATGTATCGTTGGCCAGCCTTGCGATCGGCTTTTACAGCGTTTATGGAGGCTGATATGCTCGCTGCCTGCAAAGACAGAGCTGCAGACTTTCTGCCACGGCCACGGGATAAGCGGAGAAAGTCGGAAGTGGCCAACTGTTCAAGATCATGTTCCAAGAATATGTGACAGAGGCGACTGGCACAGTCATAATCATCGCGGCCACGCTTCACCCGAAGAAAACCATGGAACAGTCGCTGAAAGCGCGCGACTGGACCTGTACCAACGCCAGAGAAAATCCTTTCCCGGGTGGACCAAAGGTTCGCGTACCTTGCTCCATCGAGTTCCATGGCATTGATTAAACCCTGGAGCGCTCGGGCTAGATAGGTTGCCCTTGAGTTTCGAGATCCCAATCTGGTCCTGAAGAAAGCCGCCGCATCCGCATGTTTCTCCAGAGGAGCATAGGCCGCATCAGTAGAGCCACTTTCAATCACCCTGTCTGGCCGGGAGGAAACGGATGAACGCAATTCAGAAGCAACCAGCTTGTCGCTGGTTGTCTCTAATCCCTCTGGAATGAAAGGGAAACAAGTCCATTGTTCAGGACCAGCTACAATAGGGCTCGATGCAGCTTCAGCTATGAAAGGGGTGATATCACGCGAAGAACTTTGTTGACAAGGTTCCATAGACCTTTCTACCTCCAAGGCCATGGTAGCTGCCCCTTCCGGATATGATGGCGAGCTGAAGAGGATCTGTCGTTCGATTTCTGTGCATCGGAACACAAAGCCGCGAAAGCACCCAAGTAGACCCTTATAACGCCGCTCAGATTTAGGAAATAACACAATGAGGGTGCCATACTCACCGATGAGTTGACAATAAGGGACGGAGAAAGCGTCCCGAGTATCCCGGCTATAAATTGCTCGTTGGTTTCATAATCCATCAGAATTAGGGACCTGCTAGGCCGTACAAAACAAATTCAGGGGGCAAAAAAGTCGAGAGAGATAGCTAGAGCCGCAACGTCGGCCTTTTTTTTGGACTGAATTATTCGAACAAGTTTGAGAGACAATGACTTCAAGTGAGAGCGGGATAATTCCTGGCCAATTTAACCGAGAGCAACGCGGTATGTATTTACCCCTATTCCAGATCAATGTGAAACTTATATAAATGCACGAGTGAAGTTACAGCTTTGGCTGGAGCTGACAGGCTGCTTTAGTTAGATTAAAATGCTGGTATTTAAACATTCCCGCCACATTCGGTGGGATCAACCATGTGGAGCTCTTGCATAGAGTTTCCAGTACTGTGCCTGGCTGTCTGCAGAAAACGCGGAATTTATGAGTGGAACTGACCAGCCGGTCAAGCTAACGTGCATAAGACAATAGTAAAATAAGTTATTGTCCCACAAAGGCTACGCTAACTGCGTTACTTCGGTGAAATATAAACTTTGCTTCGTAAGGCCCCGTTAAGGACGCTGAGGAAATAATTCGAGAGTCAGAAATGAAACGCAGCCGAGACTTCCCGGCTACTGCGCAGCGCCGTTACTACCGAGTCAGTATCTATCAATGGAATGGCTCAGAACCCTTGGTGTAATGGCAGATTCCACCCAATCTTTCCATCCGGCGTCTAACCACGCAGACTTGCTGTGGATGCCTGAACAAGCGACTTTAATTTTTCGAAGCTCCCGCTTGCTTAGTAGCGATATTGCCTACCGAGAAGCACAATCCAATAGGCTAAGTGGATCCAGGGTATAACGAAGAATTATGGCTTCCAACTTCAACAGTAGGATAGGCTTCCACACCGCCTGTGGCCAAAGACAATTATTACCCGTGGCCAGCGACGGGTGTTTCGCTTTCTCTAAAGTGATACTCTTCTAGAGTGAGCTGCAAATTTCCAGTGTAGACACAAAAATTAGCCTACCTTTAATGTACTGCATTTCCTGGTGAGGTAGGGAGGCATTCGTCCGGTTGCGAGTATCAGGAATTTGCAGTAGACTCAGATTCAGCCCCAGTTCGCTGGAACGGCCCGTTTTATTGGGATCGACATTCTACATTACTTTTCCAGCAGTCCTGTGCTGTAAACCAAATAAAACCAAGTTTCGCCGCCAATTCCTCCATCCCCCTATATTTTTCTTCTTTCGTCTTTTGCGAGAACCGACCATGTAAAGCAAGCTCACGGTCTTCTCGTGTTTGCTATAGCGCCGTTCGTGCATAACTTCTATCACAGCAATGGATGACAAAAACTTATACCAGCGATGCTAACCATCTCCTCTACTAGGTACTTTTATCGTCCTCAACTACCAACGCTATGGGCCTCGTGAAGTCCAAACAAGCTGATGAGCGAAAGGGATCCATCCAGCGCCATGCCAGTATACAACGGACGATCAAGGGTGGCAAGGAGACGATCGACCGGACCATCAATATCGTGCTACTGGGTGTGCTATATCTGCAGACGGAAGCTGGTTGTCCACAACATTAACCCCTTCGTCTGGTGCTGGAAAATTTGGAAAGTCTACCTTCAATACATGTAAGCAAATGCACATCATCCACCATCAGGGTTTCTCTGAAGAGGAGTGCCAGCAGGCACGTGCTGTGATCGACTCATATATCGTCGTTGCGTTCAGATTTCTATTAGATATCATGCATGCTGAGAAAATCAGGTTCGAGCATAAGAGGATTGAAGTTTCACGAAGTCCACGTCGGTCTTTCATCCAAGCTGGTTACTGCTTGGCCATCAGCCGATCTTTTGGTGAACACGGATCCAGATTCTGGTTCTGCCAAAGCGTTCTCAAATCTCGAAGTTCATGACGGCGTGAATGTCATGTGGGGTGATGCAGGCGTCCAACAGGCTGTTGCTCTGGAACGCAGGTTTGCTCTTCATGACGACCTGGTTTATTACGCGCATCTACCATCTTCTCAAATCCATGCTAACAATCTTTCTGGGCGTCTATAACTTCTTTGACCGCATATTTACCCGAAACACGGTATCTAACAAACAAGGCATGCTGCGAGTTCGAATTCGGACAACAGATATCACGGACACGCTGTTCGAGCTTGCACAGATGAATATTCGCATGATAGATGTTGGCGGCCAACGATCTGAATGGGAAAAATGGATCCACAGTTTTGACGGCATTCAGTGCCTGCTCTTTATGGTTGCCTTCTATGGATACTATCAATGTCTGATTGAAGTCCACTATGCCGTATGTCTACTCCCATCTCTACAGCGTCAGTCACTTATGGACGACCTCTACAGCTTAAACGTATGAAGCCATGATGCTGTTTGAATCTCTAGTGAACTGCAAATGGTTCGAGCGCAAGCCCATCCTTCTCCTCTTGGGAAAAGCCGGTTTGTTCAAGCGCAAGCTCCCTATCTCCTTCTTTTAAATCACTTTCCGGACTACACTGGATCCAACAGCGACTTTGGCAGTGCGGCACAGTATTTTGCAGAGAGGTTCTTACGCCAAAAATTTGGGGCTGAAAGTAAATTCACGTAAAAGTAACAAACATGGAAATTTGCATCGTTGAGCTGGTGTTACTGTTGGGCCTCTGGGTAGACAAATCGCAAGGTGGTGTGAGGTTAATAGAGACGGGGATTGCTTTCCTTAGCTTAGAGCATAATCAGCAAAGACGATCCTGTAAGCCACTGTAAATCTTTTCCTTCCCAAGTTCTGAGACAAATGCCTCAAAGTAAGACTAAAACGGATAAAGAGAGATATCCTCTTCCGCCAATTAGGACAGTTATGCCGTCTTGATATTACTGTACGGAAGACCTTTTGGCAAGACAGGATATCACCTTTCTGTTGCTCTTAACCCTTTGTGGGGACGAAGAGTCCCCTTTCATCGATTTCAGGCAATAGGCTAGTACAGCGAAGGTGTGAGAAAGAAGATGAATCGAAGCTTCGTGCTTGGCGGAAAGACGCAGAGAAAATGGCGGCCGATTTGGCGGCTAAGGAATTGGAGGAAACACTTGAAATGAGGAGGATGATACATTATTGGCTAATGAGGCTATTGATGGGCTTTATTTCATGGATCCTGGACCTTACACGTCTAAAAAATGAGCTAGAAGTTGAAGAAATTGGATATTTGCATTATGGCTGTTAATTGCATTATGGCTATGGGACACCCCCTACTCGAAGGGTGGGGGGTCGTCCCGTGACACGGCTATATAAAAACACACTCTCAAGTACTCAATTGGCTATGCCCATACTAGTCCGTACTGTAACGACCACGTTCCGACAGCTTGTCATCTGGAAAACCCAAGACCCCGTATAATTCAAAAACAAAACAAGCTGTAGTGGACGGGCGTTAGAGCTAGGAGTATTCAGAAGAAATGTTTTTGACGAAGGAAAAAGGAGATTGGTGATAACGAAGAGTAATATAGCTCGTAGCCTAGGTGTAGGATTCCAATGATAACACACCCTGGCGTGGCTGGATCCTAGAGACTAGAGTGAAGCTTCTAGGCACTATTGTGCTTGCTCATAGGAGCTATTACCACGGCTCCTGAGAATTAGTAGCTCCCAGGAATAAATAGTGCGATACTGGAGACGAGGCACGCGTTCCTGGTTCTAATACGAGGACTCATCACGACGTGCTGCAGCTTTTGGAAATCTGGCGATGGCGGTGTGTACGGAGAAGCGCATGCAGAACAACTCATACCTGCATTCCTGCACTTCCCCTCTTTTGCCGCCCAAAGAACTAGAAAGCCATGGCACACACTCCGCTGCTTTGAAAATTTTCTTAAATTGACCTGGCTTTCCTCATTTCCACTTTCTTTCTCTCCATACTGCAAGGACCGACGACAATGGCAAAGAAGAGATCCAAGCAGCATCCAACCCAAGAGGAACCCGCGAGTCCGATGTCTGTCCAGGTATCTCCGAAGATTGATTATGTCCAGCCATTATCATCGTAAGCGCTGTTGGTCCATTAAAATCAATTATACCTGACCTTTTTATAGACCGTATGAAGCCCCAGTCGTGACCGCCACGATCGGGAATAAGAAATATTGCATTCCGGGATATTGTCTTCGGAAATGCCCACAATTTGAGCAACAGTCGGTGTTGTATTCATACATTACCCTGCCTGATGTTCACGAGGATGTTGGCCATACCCTTGTGCATTTCCTATATTCAGGATGCTACGAGACGATAAACTCATCAGTCGAGGCGGGCACATCCAGTGTGGTAAGAGAGTATAAGAGAAGTGTCCTGGTTTACCAGGCATCCAGGACATACGAGCTTCCTGCTCTTGAAGCCTTTGCCAGACATTACATAGAACGGTTCGGCGAAGAAATGTCTATGAGTGATGTACTGCGGATTACAAGGGAGATCTTTTCAAAACTTCCCGACGACGAGATCTGGCTTCCGAAGTATATCGAAAGAAACCTCCAGCAGTCGTTGAGGTCTAGCAAGTCAGAATTCGATCTGGATGAACTTTACAATGCCCTCGGCCAGGATCATTATTTCGATAATACTGTGACGAAAATGATGCTCGAGATACTTCTTCGTTCCCAAGAAATCACCTCGCAGGACGGGAAGAGCCCATGCGAACAGATGCACAGTCATGGGAACGGAGAGAGAAATGCATCAATAGACGAATCCCTGGACAAGATAACTAATGGGCGACAGTACACAGAAGAGTCAACTAATGGAAATCTCGCTTTTGTGGAGGCTGTTGCTGCCGCTGAGCCTATTGCTGCCGCTGAGCCTGTTGCTGCCGCTGAGCCTGTTGCTGCCGCTGAGCCTGTTCCTGCCGATTGGCCTGATGCTGCCGATTGGCCTGATGCTGCTATCGACGAGCCTGCTGCTGCTGAGGACTCCCCGGATAAATTCCGTCCGACCGAAGTTTCGCTTGAAGATGTAGCTCTATATCAGAACTGGAAGAGCATGTCCTCAAAGAAGAGGGCTAAACGAACACGAACTCTTGTAGCAAGGGGTCTTCCAATCCCAGGGAAGGATGGCATAATTTCCATCTTCGTGGTGTGACGTTTTCTGTTCGAATATTTTCATTGTTCTTCATATTCGCTGAATTTTGCCGGAAATGACAGCTATTAGTTCGCCCGACAATGTCTGTTGGCCATTCTGCGAATGGCGCCCTTGTTTGCCACGATGCTTGCCTTGGTGTAGGCGACTGAGATACAATCACGCGTGGCGAATTTCAGTCAAAGACCATTGTCTTTCTTGCTAATGATGGGTTACAGTATGTGTCCTTCAGCAGATCGAGACACCTTAAACACAGATTCCATGTTCTGACCCAGTCTAAAACTTAGTGGTGTTGCTATTCTGGCAACAAAGAGAAATGTGCTTCAGTGGAAATCCGTACCCGACACTCACGCCTGTAGAGCAGGAAATAGGGAATTTTGAAAATGAAGGCACGGGTGCCTGTCCTAATTGAGGCCTGTTGAAGCCATGCATTCGTTTAGCCACCGTTGTTTGTCCCCCTTGGTTGATGACACCTAGGACCTGTGAAGTTCTAAAAGCTAGTCAAGGTGCAGAGCAAAGAATACCTCGCCATTCCAATTATAATGCGCTTAAGAGCCAGGGCCGCATTTTTTTGCTGGGTAAATTATCATTTCCTCAATTCGCCGCTCGACCAAGCCATGTACATAATCCATGTCAGATTTAGGAGTGAAAAGTGATGTTGAAAGCAACCAATATACGATATAGTGCATAAACAGGGAGTTTCAGAACGGCGAGATTGCGTCTAGTCCAGCTGAGCCTGCGAGGTCCTCCTTGGCTGCTTTGTGGTCCTCGGAAGGTTTGAAGCTCGTAAGGTCGCAGATACTGTTATAACTCGCTCTTGTTCTAATATGAATGAGTAAGAGCATGATTCTCTTTTACCTTGAACTTAAATAGAGTAAGTATTTCTGCTTCGCCGTGCTCGGTAATCCTCTACAGATAGCAGGGCTTTTATCTCAGACGCCGTCTCATTACTGCCTCCAGAAATCAGGTGGAAACTAAATCCACTAGGCTTGATGCGTTTGATATCGATTTCCTTAGGCTTGATGTCTTTCACGGCTGAAGTCTAAGAAAAGGGAGATTTTCCTTGCTTATGCGCACTTTCCGTCTCTGTCCGTATAAACAGCGAACAGATATCCATAGCCGTATCCAGATACAAACATGGACATCTTCATCGTCACTATCAATAATCGGTCAGGCTCCTGTTGACGATTGCATCTGTGCTAGGAATTTATCTCTTAACCCTAGGAGATTTCTTGCTCCCGGGGGCCCCAGAAACGTTTTTGGGAGCAAAAGCAGGTTCTAGGAGCCACGTAGCCCCAGGAAACCCGATGTAGCTTCTGGGGTCTGGTACACACACCACTGGGAATCAAAGCCGCGTTCCTGTTGACGACTTGTTGATTCCTGGGGCGATGATTTGGCCTCCTGGGGGATCCAATGACGCAGAATTGTGCGCAGGTCCGGTGAAGGTGTTTTGTGAGGGCTTTCGGCGATCTCGGAAGGCAAGCTATTGACTCTAGGACCCTAAAGTAAGCTCCCAGGGGCTCCACAGCTCCCAGATCTGGTCAATGTATTCCTAGAGCCAGTTCCGTATTCAGTCAGGAACGAAAAGTGAAGATCCCAGGGGTAGACCTCACTTTCCTAGAATTAGAAACAGCCCCAGGATCTCAAGAGTATTTCCTAGGGGATAAACAGCCCCTAGGAATGCTTTTGAGGTTCCCAGGGCCAACATATTGGTTCCCAGAGTAGGTTAACAAGCACGAGAGTTTGTCAGTCTCTTGCCTGTGGCTTTTCTGCCAACAATCCCCGCCTTCACGCGACACGGCTCCACCGAGATGAATCCTCTGTTTCTTTGGGCATCGCCGTTAGGTATCATGAAAACAGAACTTTTATCTACCACTACAGTTTCGAGCTCAGACATTTTCGGAATCACCGAAGCAGTCAATAGCTACTGGCTATGGTATATTGGTGTCCAGCACTTACGAGATGAAACGGTCGCGTTGTACTTCGGAGTTTAACCATCGGTATTTCATTTCTTGCTAATTTGATTCAAAATTGTATATCACGGCTATAACGGCTGTAACCTGTGATCACCTACGCTGAGTGGAATTGAGTCGTGCCGATCGGCGAAGCGCTGCAGCGGTGGAAGGTTGTCGCGGTAGATAAATTCCTGCTAGTCTGGCTGAGCGACGGGGCCCACCATCGGGAGATGATTCACTTGCTGCGAGGACGGAATGTGTTTCGGCATCCGATGAGGTGATTGGTAAAGGGCGAATCAAGGCATCTAGGGCACCTTCGTTTCGGCTGCGGTCATCAGTATCTTGGTCGTCTCAGAAATAAGGTCATCCACACTTACCACACACAGCATGACGTGCCAAACCCTGTATCTCGCTTTTCCAACCATTCTTCGGCGCATGACAGATGACAGAGCGATGTGCACTGACCGCAGTGTAAGATTACGCTCTCGTCCGCATGGTCTTCATCCTCGGTCTGGCAGAACACACAGTAGATGCTGTCGACGTGGATGCTGTCGACCGCTTGGCTCGGCCTGAGACTCTGCAGCGTCAAGTCTTGGACACCCACCCGGATATTAGTTGCCGATGAGAGGATGGCTGGTCGGGTCGGCGAAACGCGCCATGGAACACTGTTCGTCCGTAGCATTGCAGAAGTCACAAATGGATTGAATGGCTGCACTGGCTCGGGGTTGGTTGAAAGCCGCACCGGCGGGATTTGTCTGAGCCTGTGAGGAGGTGACGGGCCAGTGTTGTCTGATGCAGGGCGTCGCCTGGAGGCTGACGATGTCTGACGCTGGCCCCGATGTACAATGACTGATGGAGAGGCTATTCTGGAGCCATGTGGTACTCGCGCCTGGTTGCGGACGGCGGCTTCATACCACTGCTTGCCAACTTGGTCGGCCTGCCGTTGCCAGTGCCATCTCGCGCAGAGGAAGTCTCTGGCGACATCACAGAGCTTCGACTGCAACGATGACAGGTCAAATGGCTCTCTGGCGAGAGAGGTCAACTTTTGATGGCCGATCTTGGTGTCTTCAACTTTGATCGAGTTTTTGCACGGCTCGCCTTTTTTCGTCGTCCCGCAACAAGAGCCAGGACCGCCATTGGGGCTGACCTCTATCTCACAAACAAGAAACGGATTCCAAGGCAGCATGGTAGTTATTGAGGTGGTCGTCAAAGGCGGAAAATGCTTCGGATTGTGGTGTTGGGCAATCCACTGCGGCGTTCCCTCGCCAGCTTTATATGCCATCGCCGTGGGCTCCTTACCTACATGGCTGCGTGGCTGGCATGGAACGCTTCCTTGAAACAGTCGGTACGTCGAAGAATGCATTCACACACAGTATGCGCCGTATACAGCCGATCAGTGGCCTGCATGAAGGGATATCATTCCAGACCACTGCTGCAATCAGCTGCACATTTGACTATCCATCGCGGTGACCAGGCAGGGGCGAACAGACTGGCTACTGCGGTGAGCAGCAAACTCGACATATGCAGTGTGAAATTCCGGGTTGCCTATGGAATACGGAAGTGCGTAATAGGTGATAATCTACTCTTATTGGCGCCACTTGCTGTACCGAAATTAGACGTTAAGCGGCGGGGGGAATTCTTCCATTATTTTAAGCTTTGGATTAATTTGATGAAAAGTCAGTTCTGTTTATTTTCATAGCTGCCGGGTGTCCCGGTAAGAACTAGTGAACCTAATCCCGGTTATGGCGTGTGTATCTTGTACGTGTTCCGCCGGAATATTCTGTGGTTATCTCAATCCGCCAAAACCCGACAAGCTTTGAATAGATTACGGAATGGGATGCGGGTGCGGTAGATGGGGGTATTAGTCGTGCCTTACAGTAGCCGTGAAGGAATCAAATAATGAATGACGAACTGTGACAGCCCTCCTAAGGCTAAATGCGGGGCCTCAGGGTAAGTAGTACGGAGAATCCAGTTGACATGGTTGATTGAAGACAGTCAGGAGATCGCTGTTGAGAGCGTCTCATAGCCTTAGGGACAGATATTGGCATGTTACGACTTGAGTATCCGACAATGACCCCTTTTCCATACAAAATATACGATGGTGTGTGTACCCCGACAAGCTTTTAGAGCAACCCACTTTACTCCACTGCCCCGTAGGAAATTTTAGAGGTCTTTATAACAGATTCGATACAACTTGGTGTCTAGATTATATTGGTGTTTACGGTAATGTCCGTGTCCGAACCCTGTCCGCAAACTGGCTGACCAGTTACGATATAGTGAGCAAAACAGACAACTCTTATTTGAATAAGATATTTTGGTCACAGATATCTCCAATTAGAGCCTTTAGTCAATCCCAGCCAAGTTGCTATTCTTGTTCCGATGATGGTCGCAGCCCAGCCGGGTTAGGGGGCGATTGTTGGAGACTTAATTCAAACACGGAAAGTAATAGAGAGTTCGGAAACCACAAAGCTTATTGGAGACTATTTCTTGCACTCCTGGCTGAACTAGGGAACTACAGGAGGAGGAATTTTCAGTAGAAGGGGCACTCGGAGCTTTTCTATGATCGGAGTTATTTTCCTGTCCCGTTGTGAAGGAGTAATATCGGACAAATAAAATGGCAAAATTGTCATTTGAAATTTGCGTCACAACGGTGTCTTCTTTCTCATTACGGTGCCTCTTTCCGTTCCCCTAAGGCCGTCCTAATCATACAAGTTGCGGTGCTGTTGGTGCCTAGCTCAATTCAGGGAGATCAATACTCTGCTGCCTGTCCTCGAAACAAAATCGCAGAAACCCTACGATTTCCCTAGTCGGTCTTTGGTTAGTTTGACTTGCCGGCAAATCCATGAGAGACACGGGTCCTAAAGTAGTTTGAAAGGTCAAACGCGCTTTGAAACAGTAAGCTTGGGGTAATGGTCCACCCTGCCTCCGCACCATACACTGTTCCAGACTGGTACGAGCACAATCCACAAGTTGTACATGTCTCTGATTCCGAAAGAGAGGCCCACATGAAGAGGGAACGAGGGATCCATGGAGAGTCGAGGGTCGAGA